TAGGGCCAGTCCACGATCTATGATCAGCGAAGGAGGGGACATCTTTGACATGTGAGTGTACATCTCTTTGTCCATGAGCCAGAAGGCCAAGGTCTTATCTCCTACAAGTGCCTGGTAAATCATTGCAGGTATTAAATGTATGGTTGAAATGCATTATCAAATCTGGTAAGTTATTCACATTTGATTGAGGAAATTTTACTTCTTTACAGAGTACGACTATGTGGTAAATATAATACCATTAAAATCCAAAAACGGCTCTTACACACTGAGAAAGATCTGTAATTCAAAGCATCAGTGATACACACTTTACCACCTATTCCAAATCCTTCCACTCACCTGGTCATGTGACTCTGCATAAGCAACTGTCTTTTCCTTGTAGCGTCGATTCTCAAGAATGTGGCATATATTCCCCATATCCCAATCATCATCTACCTTCTCCTTTAATAGCTTAATCCAGGTGTCAGGAATGGCCATGCCCAGACGGTAGTCAAATCCTCCACCACCTTCTGTTACTGGCCGGCAAAGAGCAGGCATTCCTGAGACATCCTGAATGAACCCAAGAAAACAAATACTTGAGGCTATATCGGTTAAAGAATCTTGTTTATTAAATCCATTTTAAATACCTTTTTACTTGTATATTTGTATGTATATGAGAATCAGTGCATTAATATGTAAATGTAAATATGTTTGCATAAAACCATGCATATGTATGTGAATAAGATATATAAAATTTCTCTATAAACTTCTCTATGAACATGCCTGCCTCTTAGATGCAAAAAGTGAGTAAACAAATTCTCAAAACAATTAAGATACAACTTAAAGATCAACGATAAAAAAAATATATATATACATATAAATATAAGGAAATAAAACATTCTTAACAGTCTCTTAATAAACTAGTTCATGTCACCCCTGTTTGTGCAGGAAACTTCCCAAATATCTGCTATGAATGAACTTACCTCAGCAATGGTTATAATCTCTGGGCTGAGCTCATGGAGCATGTGGTTAGCAAGCATGAGATATACTAAAGCTTCTATGTCCACATTCAGCCCAAAGTATTCATTGTAATCTCCACTAAAACCTTCACCTATTCCATGGGAGTGATACAGCATGGAAGTCACACCATCAAACCTGTGATTTCATATGAAACTTGTGTTACAAACTGTCCCAGTGATGTATTAATTACAATAAGATTACAGAGGAAAAAGTTTAGTTAAAAAAATTATTATGTTTGATAAAGAGCAGTAATAATGAAAATTACACTTGAAACCCATTTACTTTCTAGTTCCTGTTGGTATATAAGCAAAGATGTTTATTGATCCAGTACAGAAGCTAAATACAACACCACAATCCAAGAAGGATTACTTACCTAAATCCATCAAAACTGTATTCTTCAAGGTACCAGCGAAGGTTAGACAGAAGGAACCTCAGCACTTCCCAGCTGATATAGATTAAAAAAAGGAAAGTTATTTACTACAAATACTTGGCCCTTGTTGTCAGTATCATGTATAAATATTCTCTCTATGCATAAACAAATGCAATTATCTACATATAGCTACATGCAAATGGATATTCTATCTCACAACAAATATCTAAAAATCTATGACACAACAAGTTTTTCAAACTCAAAATAAATAAATACAAAGAAATACAAAAATAAGATCTGCCAACATAAGATAAGATTAACATGTTTTTAAAAAAGCTAGATCAAATCTGTCGACTCACTTTGAATAGTTGAATAATCTTGAGTCCCAAAGATCATGTATCCCTCTGCCACCTCCATGGAAATAGCAGGAGTCTGTTCCATCAAACTCATTAAGACCATCCAAGACATTTTTGGATGCATGAGAATGCACAACATCCAAAAGAACATACAACCCCATGGAATGAGCGGTATCAATCATTTCTTTGAGTTCTTCTGGTGTTCCATACCGGCTAAAACAAAAGGAGAGGAATTAGTCCTAAGCACAGTTTTTTTGGAACTGGTAAAACATCTATACTTCTAGACAAGCACAGAGAATAAATATAAATCGAAAAAAAAATATTCATTTCATTGCAGGTATTTCAAGAATGCATAGACTGAATAAATTCAAATAATTCTCACCTTGAAGCAGCAAAGAAACTGGTCACCTGATACCCAAAGCTGGCATAGTATGCATGTTCCATAATGGCCATCAACTGGATAGCATTGTACCCTGGAATGGTGTCAAGTAATGGATGCAACAACAAAATCTTTCACATAAAATGTTAATCACAAACACGATCACTTTGTAGTTTAGAACAGTGCAATGCCGTCATCTATTTACATCAGTACTCTTATACGAGTTTCTGAGAAACACAAATACACAGCATGCTAACTTTAAAGGATATTTTTCAATTTGGACTAGCAAAATTAAATGTTTTCATTGTATTCTGGATTCCTGAACATATATAAGACAATTCTTTGACATCATCCTGTAAAAAACAGTTTCTTACCCAACTTTGCTATCCTGGGAAGAACATTATGGGTAAACTCCTTGTATGTTCCAACTTTAGGCTCACTAGTACCAATGCCAACATGGCACTCATAGATCCTCAGACTTGATGGCTTCTTTGGCTTTGGGTGCTTGAAGGTATATTTCTGTCACAAAAGATACAAAATTTCTCAAAAGTCAATGAAACTTGTAATTCCTCATATGAACAACTTAAAAATATATGAAATATATACATCTATTTTTTTTATAGTACATCAAGCTCAGTTTTTTTCACTACTGCTCTCACTCTCCCCATTTTACCTTTCTTTCCCTCACACTCTCTATCTCTGTCCTTTCTCTTCTCCTGTCTGTCTCCTTCTCCCCCTCTGTCCTCACTACTTCTATCCTATCTCTTTCACTCTTATTCACTTTCACTTTCTCCCTTTCACTTCCTTTTCCATTCTATCTTCTCTCTCTCATCTTTTTTTAACTTCCTTCCTTTCTCTCCTTTCCAATTCTTCCCCTCTGTTCCAACTTCTTGTACCTATATTCTAATCTTCTCTCTCTTAACTTACCTCTTCTGGTGGAGGGTTCCAGAAATGATGCTGATAGGCGATCCCCTCTGACTTGGGTGGCTGCAGCACATACGAGGCCCAGGGACAGAGTCGGTCCACCATAGTATCTTTTGGGGTCAGGAGTCCCACCTGGTGATGAGAGGGGGTGCAATGCACAGTGGTGAGTAGAGCCTTTAAAAGAAAATCTAACTAAAAGGATCCAGAACCATGAATAAAACTATTAAAAAAAAAGTCTGATATACATTTTCTCTATCTTTATTTTCAACACTGATTAATTACATACCAACCATCAAATAAGTCTATCTGCAATTCTTTAACCCGTGGCCAACGGGTGGCATGTATGTACATGCCATGGCTGCTGTGGACCAATAAACAGATGGCATCGTATCATACCCATTCCTGTGCCACTGGCTCGTCGGACGGAGTTTGTTTTTCTCCGATAGTAGTGGCTTCATTTATATGGTAAAGATTTTAGGCAATGGCACCTATAATGAAGGTAAGCCTTCAAAGTATTTTTATAAATTATAGCAAAATAAAAGCTTTTAGGTGTCAAATGTCTCTCGCAAACTACCAATAAAGTCAGGCGCAAACAGGGGAAACTGCAGACACGTGCCATTAATCCTGTTCTTACGTCCCCTCGCCAAACATTTTTACCCTTCGGCACTGGGTTAATAAGGAGACATTTCTGAAGTCTATCCATATTCTAAAACTGAGATGAACACTTCATAAGTTATATCTCTAAATTTAGCTGTCATGGCACTTCCAAACTTCATAACATATCATTTTTATGTTGCTCCTGTCTGATTCCAATAATGAACTACCAAAAAAAGGATTGCACATAGTTATATATTTATAATTCTCCGTAAAGCATGAATTATCACTATCATATATTAAACTGTAAATTATAACACCCCTAAAATAAGTTTCTGTGCCCATGTTAATTTTGGCTCTTAACACCAAGGCGCCGGGCATGGGACGTACATACATGCCATTGCCCACTATGTGTGTTGAATTTAGTAATTGTTTTTATATACTGATGGCTCCACAAGTAATAAGTCACCAATGAGTCACTTACGCAAACTATGTCTCACCTGTTTACCTTTTTCCTTGATTTTCAATATTTTCTTATATTCAATAGTGCTGTTAGTACTGTCAGTAATAATATAGTAATTATAAGGTTTATAACATTAAAAATAACAATGTCAGTATTGATAGCATTAGTAGAAAAAACAGCGTTTTCCCACTTTTTCAAAGAAAAGTGAGGTCGCAAGATCTACTAATTGACTCCTTTGTGGCTAAGCATTGGCAGAGCCATCTATGTACAGAAACATTTAACCAAGCATTGCCAAAGGGAACGCACCATCTTCCCATCAACATTGGGTTAAATAAAATTATAATGATAATGAAACCAAGAACCAAACAGATTTAGTTTGATGATGTCATAAGTTCAATGAATAAAGAGATTTCATAAGCAGAAACAGAGGTACATTTAAATGTTTTCTTTATAAATAAGAGAATATGAAGACCAAAGTAATATATGGAAACATCTATTCATACTATGAGTATGAAAATGAAACACTACTTGATAAACCTATGGTAATTTTTGATCTGCACAAAATACAGGAGAAGGCTAAAGTTAACAAGTAACATGATTTGTATCATCAAATTTATTCTTCAAAAATCAAGTTTAACCCACTTGTGACAGTAAATTTCAGGCTGAAAATAATATTTTCCAGGCGGCTTCAAAATTGGCGTGCAGACACGTTCAGTCACCTGCCCGCGCAAAATCAGAGCGTGAACTCCAATCTAGCATTACACCAGCGGGACGCGCAGTAATGTTTTTCTGGGTGTCTCATATGTGGGACACCCGTCATAAGTGGGTTAAACACCACTGCATCAATCATGGGTATATTATTGGTGTCTTTATTACTGAATAAATCAAACAGAAATTACAAAGACAAAATGGTTTGAAAGCTATGACAGAGCTAATACTCTCCAAGTAAAACTGACAGTATCATTATTAATAGCATTATAAAAAAAAAAAAAAAAAAAAAAACTTTTTCCACAAACTTGAAGAAAGGTGAAATCAGATGAGGTTGCAAGGCTAAGCACTTGCAGAGCCATCTATGTGCAGACATATCTGACAAAAAAATACTGCAGTGAACACATTTTTCTGGGAGCATTGGGTTAATGTCTTGCAACTCTTGGCAATGCGTGGGTTGACATCTCATTAACATTTCAGTTCATAGTTATGTGCTTTTTTTCGTGCTGATGCCCTATGTTTTTATAATCCTATTAGGTAACATAAAGAATGAATGAAAGAAAAAGTCTAAAAGAAAATAAGTTTCAAAGTATATAAGAAAAAAAAATCCTTTGGAGGCGATGCACCACACTGGTGTGAGTGGTGGTCATGTTTTTTTGGGAAAGAAATAAAATGCATAAAACCATGTCAAATCGTTAGAGGGTTTTAACTCCAATATCTAAGTTTGCCTTTATGTAATTCATAGAAAATTGAAATTCATTATGATTTACTTGTGAGTATCAGGGTATACTGGTTCATACATTAGTGAGGGTCAGTGGGTGATACATTTTAAGAGTGAAGGAGTTACAAGTAATAAATGACAAAGTGTCTAATCACTGCAGTTTTTTATGACATCACACAGAAGCAATCAAAAGCATAGTGTCATTAAGCAACATATAGGATACTTTTCTCTTCTCATTGCATAGGGCATTAAAGATATGAGATTTTTCGCTGCCAAAAAATAAGAAGAAATTGTTCATTATCAAGGTTGCTATATGAAATGAAGTGACATCATCGGTCTTATTCACATAAAATGTTTTAAACGAAAGTGTCTATTCATCTGGAATGTTTTAAGTCTTCACTCACATCAAATTCACTGTCCTTCATACCTTGAAACTATTATCAGATATGACCAAAGAGTATCTCTCAAATCTATCAAGTTTAGTGAACTCCATAAAAGAAAATTCATTTAGCAAAAAATTTTGAATTCTCTTTAATGATTCACAATTTTTTCCATGCAACCTTAAAATAGACTAAGAAGTGCTACAGAATTACAAGACAAGAGTGCTATTAACACATTGACTAATTCAAATATGCAAATTCGAATGAAAGAACCATCTCCCAATGCCTCTTATAAAAATAAAGAGGGAAAAGGGAACTCTCAGATGATCTGAAGCTCTCTCATTTTCTCTCTCTCTCTCTCTCTCTCTCTCTCTCTCTCTCTCTCTCCCTCTCTCTCTCTTTCTCTCTCTCTCTCTCTTTCTCTCTCTCTCTCTCTCTCTCTCTCTCTCTCTTTCTCTCTCTTCTCCTCTCCTTCCCTTCCCTTCCCTCCCTCCCTTCCCTAAACCCTCCCCTTCCCTAACCCGCCTAACCCTCCCTTCCCTAACCCTCCCATCCCTCCCCATCCCTGCCTTCCACCCCTCCCCCACTCCCTGTCCCCCAGCCCCCATCCCCTCTCCTTCCACCAAACCAGCCGGGGCCAACGCACTGAAAGCAACGCGAAGCAAAAGGACCAAGCAAAGCGCAGTGGGTGAACGCCACTTGCCATTCAAACTGGCGCAGAACTCCTACGTGTCGGACATAGCAGAGTGCCGCCCGGTCCGAGCTGGCGATAATGAATATTAAATCGTCTTTGGGGGTTTACAGGTTTTTTTTATTCTTGTTTTGAATTATAGAAAGATATGAGTTAGGATGTTATCTATAACGATCTTTTTATGGTTTAGTATATTCTATTGACTACAGGTATATATATATATATATATTATATATAATATATAAATATATATATATAATATATATATATATATATATATATATATATATATATATATATATAATATATTATTACATATAATACATATATATATATATATATACAGACAGAGAAGAGCGTAATCCATACAGACAGGCAAATAAAGAGAAAGAAACGGAGACAGAGAGAAGAGGGAGATGACCGAGGCATGGCACCGCCGCAGTGCCAGCGTGAACGATGCCTGGCGACCCGGACCGACGGCCACCGCTCTAATTTTCAGCCTTAATTATTACTGATATAGCAAGAAGTCAGTGATTCATTAAGGACACTGAACTGAGGCTCCGTTCAGGCGCGATCGCCAAATTATTACTGGGGTTTCTTTCTTCTTGGAAAATGATCGCAGGTTTACGTTTTCTGTACTTATATGTCTGTATACGTACAAACATACACACACACACCCACACACACACACACACACACACACACACACACACACACACACACACACACACACACACACACACATATATATATATATTAATATATATATAAATATATATATATATATATATAGTGTTATATGTAATATAATACATATATATATGTATATAGATATATACATGTATGATAGATATATGTGTGTGTGTGGTGTGTGTGTGTGTGTGTGTGTGTTGTGTGTGTTGTATATATATATATATATATATAAATATATATATATATATATATATATATATATATATATATATATATATATAATATACTGTGTGTGGTGTGTGTGTGTGTGTGTGTGTGTGTGTGTGTGTGTGTGTGTGTGTGTGTGTGTGTGTGTGTGTGTGTGTGGTGTGTGGTGTGTGTTGTGTGTGTGTAAGAGATATAGGTATATATATATAATATATATATATAATATATATATTATATATAGATAATATATAGATACATATATATATATCAAATCTATATATATATATATATATAATATATATATATATATATATATATATTATATATATGTATAGATATATGTATAACATAATAGGTAAAAAGTATATATATGAAATCATAAGAATACATATACATAGCATACATATGATCTATTAGTCGATCTATCAGGGCTCTCTCCTCTCTCTCTCTCTCTATCTATCTATGCTATCTATCTATCTATCTATCTATCTCTATCTGTCTAATCTATCCATCTTTATCTATATCTATATTCATATTTATCCATATATGTATAATTCCTTGAAGACGGATTGTGTCAATAGAGGTTACAACATCAGGTAAATGGGTCCCTTCATAGTCTACACTATTATTACCATGCTTCAAATCTAGCATCTTAATAATTTCAGACAAATACGTAAAGGGAAAAGATGACCATGATGAGAAAAAAATGAGAACCACTTATGTGAAAAGCCACTCAAAATGAAATGTGAGTGAGAGTGATGGGAGAAGGAGTGGAAAGAGGGAGGAGAAAGGGAACAAAGAGGAGAAAGGAGAAAAGAAAGGAAAACTAATATCAGGAGTATCCATGTAACGAAAAACATTGAGAACACACAAAGACAGGTGACAGTAGTTGGGAGATAAGGAGGAAAAATATGATTGACGCCAATAAAAACAAATGAAAAAAGTAATATCCCTATACTGTATACAAAAATGAAATCATTAATCATACCAACAGCCTAGACAATTCCGATCATATTAACAAAGAACAAAATCTCTAGGAGCTATTACCATATAATAATAATCATGACCATATTAATATATCAATCCAAAACTGCAAGTCAATTCTCACACAATCCCATAAATTTCATAATTTCATTCACACCCAAAATTATTTCAGTAACAAATGTATTGGCAAACCTGGTTCCAATCGTCCTGCACGCAGGCTCCCCTGACCTATGATGTAGAAACCAAAAAACATGAGTGTTTCAACTGTATATGAAATATAGCAGCTGTTTACCTGATCCTTTGAGGACAAGACACCAATCTAGAAAATAAGATTGGCTTTCAATAAAAATGCTCTTTTCTAATTGATATTAGCATTAGAAAAGGAGCCTCAAAATCGTAATCCTATTACAAGAAAATCTGAAACATATAAAAACTTAGGAGCAAACATCACTTTGCATTCCAAGCAATTTTAGCTGAGGACCTACATCACCAAACAGGGTCGCCTAATCATGAAATATAAGTATATTACTAAATAAAGTGAAATGAAAGTAGTGTTGCAAATCAATAGCTAAGTTATAGAGTTCTGTTTTGAATGAATACTAGAGATCATGAATACCAGAGGATCGGGAACACTGGGCATTGTGCCATGGCTACATTCCTACAAAGCATGAACCCGTGGCAAAGTCCAAGCCTATTGTGTGCTAACTTAAAAATACCAAGGTTAACATCCAGAACACTTGTGTTGTTCTTTATGATCTGGCACATGTTGGTTAGGATGTTTTACAACTTAAATTTAAATGGATGTAGAGTAGATATTGTTTTAAAATCTCAGGCAAAAATTCTTTTGATGAAAAAGCTTAAGCACAAATTACACATCTGGTATCAAAAACGATTAGGATTACAACGGTTTTAACTTAATACTTCACATTCAGGAAAAAAAAAAAGAAAAGAATGTTAATATTCAGGAGACAACCTTTCATCCATGCAATCACCCTCAAAATTTGGAAAAATATCTAAAGGGACTCGAAACAATTGAACATAAAAAATGCCATAAAAATTAACATTGTGGGGGAACCAGCTTACTCACCTTGAACGTGACAAGGGGAATGGGCAGGGTCCATCGGGGTGGGGGTGGAGTCACGGTTTTTCGCCATTTGCAAAGTCCAACTTCTTAAAGGCAGTGCACACTTCTCCCCAGTTTATCTGAAGCATAATAAAGTTTTATGAAAATAAAGAATATATATACATTTTTTTTTCTGTGAAGGTAGAGTTTGGAAACAAAAAATTGGACAAAGATGGTTCATTATAAACATATTCACAAGCACCTGCTAACCCCACACACACTAAATAAATATGGACAATGTTAGTGCTTACTAAAATCCCCTTTGAGGAACAGTCCCTGGGCCAAGGGAGCCCATTCTCGGCAGGTCACACTGTTGTCTGGATTAACATGGATGCCAAAGGTCTCATAGCCACGAGAGAATTTCTCCAGTCCTCCTTCTGCTTCAGTTATTTGGCTGAGTAATTTCTTAAAGCATCCATATCTGGAAAATTAAAATATACGAATACATATACATATGTGTGAGTGCATGTGTGTACGCATATGCTTGTTAGTGTGCGTGTGCGTGTACGTGTGGGTGTGCATGTGTTTGTTGACCATTACCAAAGTGAAAAGCATGTCAGCAACAGTAAGGTATAAATCTGCAAGTCTCAATAAATGGCTGTAGGCTTATCTTAGCTTTGTGCAAGGATTACACTCATCCGAGACTAAGTTCCCAACTGAAACGAACAAACAAATGAACCCTGTCCTAAACACACAAAACTTCCACAATGACCACCTTAAAAAACATAAACCTAGCTAACTTGCTGGCTTTGTCCCCAGACCACTAAATGACTATTGTATTTCTCCAGGCAGAAGCCCTACCTCCAGAACCATTATAGACTGCCGATTCTCCCTTGCTGGTGCAGTCCTCTTGTAAACTTTAACTAAGTTTAGTCTGGATAATTACCTTAAGAATTATACTTTAGTTTGGATCCTTATTCTCTTTGCTATTGTTCTGCTTATCAGTCAGACCTAAAATCTAATGATAAAATGTTTGACATGCAAGCAGTTACTTCTATGCCTAAAATGATGGCTTTTTGTGCTCTTTATGTCCATTACAAGAGATTTCCTGTCTCTGCATCCTTCTTCTGGCTCACATTAGCCTCTAAAATGACACCCAATGGTCTGAGCTTTGAATGCACACATGACAGGGGAAAAAAATAACTTTCTCCTCTTCGTATGGACACTATCATATCTATGCAAAATTGTCTTAATTTGCATTTTTATAACTTGCATTATTTTGGACACTTTTTGGGGGGAAAACTTTAGATATACTTTATCAAGTGCACAGCTTGGGAAACAGGCAATCGGCAGTGGGTCTGAGAACGAAGCCCCCTGGTTGGGAAGGTTTTTGGTTCAAACTGTGAAATTTGAGATAGTTTGTACATTTAAAATGCTGGTTCATTCACTCTTTTCTTTAAGTGGGGGACTGTCATAAATTTTTACAGCCATTCTAAATATTTTGTATTTGGCAATCAGAGAAAAAAATCATAAATCTTTAAAAAATATCTATATATAAATGAATTAACTAACAGTTTGAAAAATGTCGTAACATGAAGAAGCATCACACGAACACTAATGACATCAGATATGATAAAGCCCATTAGAAAATATAATCTATATTAACAATAACAAAGAAAATACAGAAAAAGTTTCTAAAAACCAGCATACAATGAAAATAAATGAAATCAACAAATTAGCCTATGGAAAGGCATCACACGTACAGCAAATACACAAATTACGATAAAATAATATTGCAAAATCTATAATAACAAACAAAACATGGAAATGAAAATAAAACAAAACGGAAAACGACACAAACGAGGCCTTCCAACCCACTCCTCCTGATCTCCCTCTCGAAGGGCTTGATGTAGGGGTCGAGGCTGAACAAGTCGTTGATCTTCGGAACCTCCACTTTCATAGGATCGCCGATGTCCTGCATTGTGCCTCGTCCTTCACTCCTTCTTTTCTTGACCTTGGGAAATCTTCAAGGCTGAGCGATGCGATGGAATCGTCTCTCAAACGTCTGAATCTTGTGTAACCTTTCAACCTCTCCTAACCTCCGGCGACCCTATAATTCGCCCTCGAGATCCTCCTGCACTTTGTCACGTATCCTGACCTTGCCCTTGGGACGCCTGAAGGTCTGTGCACCTTCCGGAAATGAGAAAACGCCCCGCAGATCCTTCAGAGCCTTCCGAATTAGAGGTTGTGGATAGACGGGTTGGAGGGGTTGAAAGGATAAACCGAGTCGACGTGCAGCTTGTCCCGCTCGGCAGACTCTCGGCCTCCGTTGGTAACTGTACGTTCTTTTTGCTGGCTACTTGTGTGGAATTCGTGTCTGTAATTCTTGTTCTAATGCTGTTGGCGTTTACTCATTATGCCTGACGATGCAAAAACGATTACTAGGGGTTACTAGATGATGCTTATTCCAACTCGATATAATCTACATAAAATTCCCTAACGTGCAACTGTCGTGATTATGTGTACGAAAATACTATCGTCGCCGATTGTTTTTTAGTGGATCTTTAATATTTAACACTTTTATGTCAACTAACACTATTTTTAATGAAAATATTTTTGATCAAGATAACACGTGCATCTAAGTGGTATTCTGTAAGAAAGGAAACTCCCCTCAGTTTACACCAGAGGAACGATCAAGATTTTTTGGAAGCACCCGGTGACTGTAGGGCGCACCTGCGTGTCACGTGCACACTGTGGGACCTGTTATACTCTATACCGTGATCAAACCGGCTATTTTAGGAAACATTCAGTGGCTAGCATCCTGAAAATGACATCAGACTTTGGCAGAATGCACAAGCAGACAGGAACAGTATTTCCAATATGGCTGCAGTGAGTGATTGTAGGGTTTTATTAGCAAACCCGTGGTTACTAGGGACGCTGTTGCTATGGAGCCATTCTTGAGCATGGGACA